CAAAGGCCAATTTGACAGATGACAAGTTTGTACCTTTTTTGGATAAAAAAAACAACAAGAACAATGAAAGGGGTTAAGAATAGCCAATTATATAATAATTGGATAACAAGCAGTAATCACAGTGACAGGCTGGCGTTACAATTTATTGTTTGAGAATTTTTCGAAAAGGGGTTTTGAGGTTGCCCGAGGCACTCAAAGTTGATAATGATTTCATTTATCATTTTTCGGAAATAACACAAGTAAGGGATTAGTTGGAAACATTTTATCTTTAACAAGAATATTTATAAAAGTTAAGTTATTGAGAGATAATCTGACGGATTTGAAAGGTATAAAAGGTTGAATGAGAATTTGGACAAGAGTAATTGGCTGAATTTAATTTTTTTCAGAGAATTATCCTATTAAACTATTTTAAATAAGCAAGAGTTGCTAAAAAGTATTTTCCAAGGACCTTTCCCCTCGAATAATAGGCGCGGATTTGTTTAAAGAATATTTTTCCTTTTCAACAATGGCGAGGATTTTTTGAACAATATTTTCTGATGACCTTTCTAACGATGGGCGTGTATTTTTAGAGATTACTTTTCCAAAGACCCGAACCCTCCATCAATGGGCGTATATTTTTCAAAAAATATTTTTTCAAAGACCACCCCAGCAATAGGCGTGATTTTTTCAAGGAATATTTTCCAAATATCCCTTCAACAATAGGCGCGGTTTTTTGAAGGAATATTTTTCCAAAACCTTTCAAGCAATAGGCGTGCATTTTTCATGGAATATTTTCCAAATATTCCTCCAACAATAGGGGTGGATTTTTTAAAGAATATTTTTCCAAAGATCCCACGCATGAAGCTATAATGATCCTTGAAAATAGTCTTTAAAAAAATCCACAACTGAGGCCATAATAACCCTTGAAAAATAGTCTTTAAAAAAATCCACAACTGAGGCCATAATAACCCTTGAAAAATAGTCTTTAAAAAATCCACGCCTGAGTCCATAATAACCCTTGAAAAATATTATTTAAAAAATCCACGTCTGAGGCCATAATAACCCTTGACAAGTAGTCTTTAAAAAAACCACGCCTGATGCTATGATAACCCTTGAAAAATATTATTTAAAATAACCACGCCTGATGCTATGATAACCCTTGAAAAATATTATTTAAAATAACCACGCCTGATGCTATGATAACCCTTGAAAAATATTATTTAAAATAACCACGCCTGATGCTATGATAACCCTTGAAAAATATTATTTAAAATAACCACGCCTGATGCTATGATAACCCTTGAAAAATATTATTTAAAAATCCACGCCTGAGACTATGGTAACCCTTGAAAAATATTATTTAAAATATCCACGCCTGAGGCTATGATAACTAGACCTCGGATTTTGCATATTTGCATATTTTTTAATAATGAAGATATCGAAATTCTGATTGGACACAAATTCGTTTCAAAGGATTTAGAATTATTTGAAGGGTTCATATTTTTTAATTTTTTACATATTTGCATATTTTGCATATGCACGAGATATGCAAAAAATATGCAAAATATGCAAAATATGCAAAAAATATGCAAAATATGCAAAATATATGCAAAATATGCAAAAAATATGCAAAATATGCTAGGTCGATATGCAATAAATATGCAAAATATATGCATAAAATATGCAAAATATAGGCCAAATATGCAAAATATATGCTAAAATATGCAAAAATATGCAAAAATATGCAAAATATGCAAACATATGCAAAAATATGCAAAATATGCAAAATATATGCACAATATGCAAAATATATGCAAAATATGCAAAATATGCAAACATATGCAAAATATGCAAACATATGCAAAATATGCAAAATATATGCAAAATATGCAAAAATATGCAAAATATGCAAAAATATGCATAATATGCAAACATATGCAAAATATGCAAAATATATGCAAAATATATGCAAAATATGCAAACATATGCAAAATATGCAAACATATGGAAAATATGCAAAAATATATGCACAATATGCAAACATATGCAAAATATGCAAAAATATGCAAAATATATGCAAAATATGCAAAATATATGCAAAATATATGCAAAATATGCAAACATATGCAAACATATGCAAAATATGCAAACATATGCAAAATATGCAAAATATATGCAAAATATATGCAAAATATATGCAAACATATGCAAACATATGCAAACATATGCAAACATATGCAAACATATGCAAAATATGCAAAAATATGCAAAATATATGCAAAATATATGCAAAATATGCAAACATATGCAAAATATGCAAAATATTTGCAAAATATGCAAAAATATGCAAAATATGCAAAAATATGCATAATATGCAAACATATGCAAAATATATGCAAAATATGCAAACATATGCAAAATATGCAAAAATATATGCACAATATGCAAAAAAATATGCACGGTGTGCTAGGTCGATATGCGAGAAATATGCAAAAAATATGAAAAATATTGGCAAAAATATGCAAAATATGAGCAACATATTTCACATATGCAATTATTTTAATCAAAAAAAAAAAAAAAAAAAACAAAAAAAAAAAGATTTTTCATGGTAGTTTTCGAATTTGTGTGCTTTCTTTGTTTTTAACCTATAGAAATCTAATTTTGTATGTATGCGTTTCATGGTTCAACTGTTAGATTTTTGGGGCATTATGAAAAATTTGCTAAATATATGTATAAAACATGCAAATATATTTAACCGTTATATGGCGATATACTAAAACGTGGACCGATATATCCCACTTCCAATACCAAACATCCTAGGAGTAATAATAATATATGTGCAAAATTTCAAAGTTCTATCTTTAATAGTGCGACCTAGCATACCGTGCATATTTTTTGCATAATTTGCATATTTTTGCATATGTTTGCATATTTTTGCATATTTTTGCATATTTTGCATATTTTGCATATTTTTGTATATTTTGCATATTTTGCATATGTTTGCATATTTTTGCATATTTTGCATATGTTTTGCATATTTTGCATATTTTTGCATATTTTGCATATGTTTGCATATTTTGCATATATTTTGCATATTTTGCATATGTTTTGCATATTTTGCATATATTTTGCATATATTTTGCATATTTTTGCATATTTTGCATATGTTTGCATATTTTGCATATGTTTGCATATTTTGCATATGTTTGCATATTTTTGCATATTTTGCATATTTTTCATATTTTTGCATATTTTGCATATTTTTTGCATATTTTGCATATTTTTTGCATATTTTGCATATTTTTTGCATATTTTGCATATTTTTTGCATATGTTTTGCATATTTTTTGCATATATTTTGCATATTTTTGACATGACCCCAAATATCGATCAATTAAAGCATGAAACGCCTAAATACAAAATTTGAGTCCAATCGGATAAAGCATAAAAAATATGCAAAAATCCGAGGTCTAATGATAACCCTTGAAAAATGTTATTTAAGAAATCCACGCCTGAGGCTTTGATAACCATTGAAAAATATTATTTAAAAATTCCTCGCCATAGGCTGTAATACTTACTTACTTTACTTAGCTGGCTTATGACAGAACGGTTGTTCCATAAGCCAAAAAAATTTCCAAGCGCGTCGGTCTTGTGCGCATCTCATCCAATTTGAAAGACAATTTTCGGAGATGTTGTATCTTACTTGATCTTTCCATCGCATTCGAAACCTTCCCCTTCTGCGTGAAGCATCGCTTGGCGCGCTTTTATATGCCATTCTCACAAGATGGCCTAGCCAACGTAGTCGCTGCAACTCGATCCGTCTGACTATGTCGATGTCTGAGAATAGATTGTATAACTCATGGTTCATTCGACGGCGATATTCACCATCGACGCGGATCGGCTCATATATCTTCCGGAGAATTTTTCTATCAAACACTCCAAGAGCTGCCTCATCTTCATGCGCAAGTACTCATGCTTTAGATCCATACAACAGCACGGGTAATATCAGCGTCTTGTAGAGTGTGAATTTGGTGTGGTGGGAGGTGGCCTTGCTTCTTTGCTTACTCACACCATAGTAGCATCTATTGGCCAACACTATTCTCCGATTTCACAACTGACATTATTTGTTTGGTTTATGGCGGTACCGAGGTATATACAATGGTTCACTATCTCGAAGATGTAGTTTTCAAGTTCCACAGTTGGTCCGAGTCTACTAGACGTACCATCAGTTTTGTCTTTTCACCATTTACTGCCAGTCCCACTTTGGCAGACTCCTTCTCGTAGGCGAGTAATATATGCTGTTTGGTGTACAGAGTGCCATTTCTATTCACATTTGCATCTCGTATGACCTTTTCCAACAGGATGTTGAGCAGGCCACACGACAAACTGTCACCTTGTCTGAATCCTCGTTCGGTATTGAATGGCTCCGAGAGGTCCTTTCTTACTTAAACTGCTGACATTGTATCAGTTAAAGTTATCCTGCATAGGCTGTAATAACCATTGAAAATAGTCCTTAAAAAATCCATGTCTGAGGCTATAATCAACCTTAAAAACCTTGATTTAAAAAGTGCGCGCCTGAAGCTATAATAACTCTGAAAAAATAGTCTAAATATCCACGCTGGAGGCTTGAAAACAGACTTTTAAAATCCGAGGCTTTTCCAAAATTTATTTTTGTCACGAAATTGTATTTGTTTATTTTCCTCTTTATCTTACTATTTCACCCTTCTTACCGCCACTTCTTCTTCCGTTTTTTCTCGTTTCAGGAAATCAATGTCTTAAATTACCGCACACACCGGTATCAATGATTAAATCTGCTAACCGATTCCACACCCCCGCATACTCCATAAAAACAACAACAAATAATAACAAACATTTGATCCGTGCCAAATAAAATATCATTGACCGCAAAACTCTCTTCCTGCATTGGAAATACAACAACAACAACCGGCATAGCCTATAGTCAAAGCAGCTAAAACACACAGCTTCACACCATCGACACCACCAGCAGCAACAAATAACAAAATGAACGAGGCAAATGGTAATCATTCCATCATCACCACAACTAATCAGAGTGATACAAACCGGCAATCTGAATCGCCGGCACGCACGATTGACTCACATGACTCAACAACGGGCAGCATGGATACCATTGTCGATCGGGCAACCCACCACAGTAACAATAACAGTATGGGCAATATTGCTGTGGCAATGGGTGGTAATGTTAATGCTTCTTCTTCTTCACCATCGATGGCCAACAACAACCATGAGGAAATGATGCAGACCACAATTGAACAGAGTACCAACACCACAAATATGCACAACAGTTTAACCAATTCCGAAATAGCCATGTTGCAACAACAAACTACAAACGGAAGTGATGATGAATTAATGCCGACTACACCGCAACAACAACAACAAAATTCCAACCACAGCAACAACAACAAATCGTCCATGACAAATGGCAAACCAATGGATGCACAAAGTCACATTTATTCCAGTCCCGTCTATGATGAGAAACCACCACAGCCATTAAAACTAACAGCTGCCACACTGGTGGACACCGTCAAGGATGACAGCTTGAAGAAACCCAAATTAATATCCCACGAAGAATTCAAACAACAGTTGCAAGAAACCATAGCCTCCCGGGCAGCAACATTAGATTCGAGAATTAGTAAAAAACAAAGATTTCCACCAGAACTCATCAAGGATGATCGTAGTTCGGTGAAATCGGTAAAATCCCTAAAAAAGAAATCTGCCTCATTTAAACCGAAAAGTAGCACCGCCTGTTGCTCGGCATTTCCAGTACAAATTATTTTGGGCCTACTACAGTTGTTGTTGGCCATTTCATTGGTGGCATTGGGTTCTTTGTTAATTGTACGCGAAGCAGCGTTGTCCACAGCTGGCTGTGGTATTTGGACGGGTTTGATTGCTGCAGTAACTGGATCATTGGGTGTCGTGGGTCTGCGTAAGACCCAAACATCATTTTTGGCATTGAGTTTAGTGTGTATTGCCACGAGTACTTTGGCCTTGGCCATATCGGGTGTTGGACTATCACGTGATGTTAACCAATCGAAGGAAGAGGTGAGTAAAAACTAATATTTTGCAGAATTAATAGACTTTTTAGGCATTTCAACATACAAGAAAGAGTTTCAGCTCACTATCGAACCTGTCTATTCTTTTGCAGTATCATTACCGTCCTCATTCACTTCTCCTCGTTACTTTATGTATTAGAACTCGGTGTAGTCAGGAATTTTCTCGTTCTTCCAATGATATGAAACTCCACACACAAATACTGAGATTGAGAAAATTTTCATTTTCATGACTTTTTTCTTTTATCATGACTCCTATGGACCAAATCCTACCCCTATGTAACTGTAAGCCCAAAGGACCAGAAATAACATCCACAAATGGTTCACCATTAATATTTATTGTATTTTAACTCTACCGAAAGAGTACTCATAATTTTTATAAATGGTCTTTCTATTATTTTGGACCCATATGATTTCTAGGTAGGGAACATATAAACCCGTACTGACTGACCTTTTCATTGAATTATCTTTTTAACTACGTCTACGAATTGAATTTAAATTTTCTGCAAAACTAAACCACGAGTCTATCCAGCATTACTGGTCTAATTTTGACCTTCCTTTAGGTTTGCTAAAGGTATTACAAAGTTTAACTTAAATCCGATACACAATTTACTTCATATTAAATTCACAGATATTCCAAATTTAATCCAGAAGGAGTTGATTGATTGGCCCCATCAAGGAATCTATCATAAGACAAAGTGTATAGTCATTTTGTCATTCCATTTCTTCGGAATCGATTTAGCCATGACCGTGATTAGGTCAGAGTTTAAATATTTTGCGCATACATTGTTACTACTTCTACGAGGTTTGATATAGAAAAAGGGACCTATCGATTAAAGTATTGTCTCATTATTCGAACGAAATTACTGTAATTCGATTTTCCAGTGTTTGGGTAGTTAAAACCAGTGAGCGGAGAAGAATCGCCGGATGGGGCCGACGATATGATACCATACACAACCACCACTAAGCTCTAAATTTCTGCGGTTCAATATTCCAAGCCTAGGTAATATTTCGCGATATTTACACACTCCTCTGCGACATATTTTCCGAATCATGTTGTTTACGTAGAAAAATGTACACAAAAAATGTTGGTTCATTTGATCCGCTAATTATTGATTCTCTGAGTAAAATTTCGTGACGATTAGATCAAAATTGTGGCATCTAGAGCGACCAGAAAACACATAAAAAATAAAGTTTTAATCCATTTCATAGCCTAAATATTAACCGATCATTAGCAAAGACATTAGGGGTCTTCTTTTGCCAGAATCCGTCCTACATGCAAAATTTCGTCCCCATTGATCCATAACTGCGGCTTTTATTGTGTTTACAAATTATAGTGGACAGAAGGACGGACGAACACACATGTCTAGATCGACTTAGATAGACTTAGCTATCACAATCAGTATACTAAAAGTGGGTCTAGGACCAATATTTTCCGGCGTTACAAACTCTTGTGGCAACACAAAGCCATAATACCCTTACAATATAGTTCTGTCGAACGGGGCCGACTATATGATACCCTTCACCACTTTGAGTATATTCAACAGATGAATCCTATCAGACGTCGCATTTTTAAAGAACCAGTAAAATGAAATTGGAACCATAAACACGTCATTCTGCATTTGTCAGATATAGAAGCTATATCTAAATCTGAACCGATTTCAGGAAACTTAACACACATCTAGACCTATTTCATTACGCTGTGCCAAATTTAGTGCAAGCCGAAAGATATTAAGGGACTTTTGTGCACCATTTACATTAAATCGGACGAAAATATATATGAGATCTATATCTAAATCTGACCTAATTTACTACGCTGTGCCAAATTGAGATTCTATGCATATTCTCAAAAGGAACCATGTGTCTATCTCGTTTCCTTTTGCCTGTTACAAACATATGCACAAAGACATAATACCCTGTACCACAGTGTGGTGAAGGGTATAAAAAGAATTTGATTCAAGAACCTCAAAATACCGAAAATTGGGGGGAACTCTTATATGGGGGCTATCCGAAAAAATTGACCAATATTTATAATTTATAGCGGAGAGATTTGCTACCTAATAAGAACTCGACGTACTAAATCACAGTCAATTCGGTCGAAAAATACGATCAGAACCCCCAAAATACAAAATTTTGGGGGTACCGTTATATGGGGACTACCAGAAAAACTGGACCTATATTTATAATTTTTAGTGGAGTAATTTGGTACCCAATAAGAACCCAATGTACAAAATTTCAGAGAATTCAGTTATAAAATGAGCCCAAGAACCCGATAATACCGAAAATTGGGGGTACCTTTATATGGGTGCTCTCCGAAAAAATGGACCTTTATTTATAATTTTTGGTAGGGAGATTTGCTACCCAATAAGAACTCAATGTACCAATGTCAGCGAATTCGGTCGAAAAATGCGATCAAGAACCTCAAAATACCGAAAATTTAGGGGTACCCTTATATGGGAGCTATGCCTAAACGTGGACCGATTTTCTCCAATTTCAATAGTGTTCGTCCTTGGGCCAATTAAGTGACCTGTGACAAATTTCACCCAAATCGGATCATAAATGCGATCTGTACTTTGTTAACAAAAATACATGGACGGACAGACGGATATGCATAAATCGACTCAGAAAGTGATTCTATGCATATTCTCAAAAGGAACCATGGGTCTATCTCGATTATTTTTGCCTGTTACAAACATATGCACAAAGACATAATACCCTGTACCACAGTGTGGTGAGGGGTATAAACATTATGTTCATATCAAGAATGTTGTAGCTTCTGGAACAAATCAAGCCTAAGGTCAGGCCATGGATTATTTCTAACACATTTAGTCCCTAAAGGCAATTATTGCAACAATCATGCGGAAATTCATACTTCTTGGGATACGGGCCTCCCAAGTTCCAGTGAGACCTTTGCATGTGTCCAGGACTTTCAACATTAACTACGCAATATTAATATCAATTTGAATCATTCCTTCAATATTGGCTTCCAAAATTTCACTGAGACCCCTATATAGTCTTCCTTCTATGGAGAAATAAATAGAATAGTTTTGGTGAGTGGTCGACCTTCGGATGGGGATTTATGGCTACGACAGAATCTTCTACTAAATAGAATAGTATGGTTTTCTTCGACATTGAAATTGATAAAAAAAATATTGCCCAAGTAGGGGTTTACACAAAGGAGAGGGAGGTATGAAGAATGGAAAGGGACAATGAAAGGGAGGAAAGCAGCAGTGTTGTGTACAGAATTTGCAGTTGTGTAAGCCCATAGGAAAACTCATGCAAAACCCATGAAAACAGGGCCACTAAAACTACTTATACATAGTAAAAATTTCGAACTGCGACGGTGCCTAAATATAAACTTAAGCCAAATACCCATACAATAACCCCGATCGAATTTAAGGAATTTAAAGACGTTTTTACTTGTCGATTACAACATTTGGAACAGTGTAATTTTCAGATAATTATACTTACCTTCTTCTAAAAAATGATTTACTCCTTTTGTAATGTTTCCCTCAATTTTCCAATATCTTTTTCATTCTTCTTATTCGCAATTACCAATTCTCTCCATTCTCTCATTTCAGTTCGATTTATTGAATGCCAAAAGTGAAATTTCCGCTGCATCTGGTCTCATTTTCACTTTATTTCTACATTTTGTTGTCAGTGTGGTTTCCGTTTATCGCTGTGCATTGCAAATGTGTTCAAGGTAAGTGTCAACAACAACAAACAACTATTTGCAATACTAATAACAATAATTATAAGCAAAACAAAAGTGAAAAGAAAATTCCAGTAAAATAAATAAATGATTTTAAAATTATGTTCATATGCAAAACACGTATATAAATGACCTCCTTACATATACAAATACATTTCAAAATTGGCAAATTGTGATTGGCAACACTACCAAATACAGAGAGAAAAAATGCAACCTTACTGTTGACTGTTAAAAAATTACACACAGCTGATTGATAGAGTTACTGCAAGCAAGTAACGTAATGCTGATGACTAACAGCTGATTTTGACATATTTTATTATTTGTGTACAAACCTCAACACACACACATAGACAACGGGAGTGAGTAACGTTGTGGTAATTTCCATTAACAATACGTTACGTTTGCGTTCGCACTAATTGTAGACCCTTAGCCAACCAATCCATTGTCATTGTTTGACAATTGTCAATATTCTCTCCATAGTATATGTCTCTCTCTCTGTGTCTGTGAACAACATTAATAAGTGAAAAGAAAAAGAAAAATAGTAATGAAGATTGCAAGCTAAGAAAAAGTATTGTTTTTTAATACTGATTTATATTCGTGTAAACGAACGGAATTCTTTAACAAAAAATTACGCTGGTCGTAGAGTCGCAGATTATATTGAAATTGCAAATCGGGAAATAACATACGGCGGACCACACTGGACCAAGGAAATAAACGGCGTTCGTTGAGTTCATGTTTTTCCACTGAAGGCCAGTCACGCTCGCCTACGCCTTTTGGTCTGGTCGGTGGAGGTCATCATTCAAACAATTCGGTCGCGTCGCTGTTGTCGTCTGTTTGTTGTTTTCTATTGTTTAGTGTGTGTGGTGTCGTCGTCGTCGGTTCGTCGTTTGGAACAGCACAGCTCAGCACACATTGCAAAAACGCAGAATACTCGATTAATTACTTCTGTTTGTTGGATTGCCTTCATCGTTTTTTTATTATTTTGATTTCCATTTGACATTTCCTTGATACACCGAAACCTTGCAAATTGAAAACAGCCATCACGTTAGCGTCCCAGCAGTTTACATTTAACGCCACCATGCCGTTGGCCGATCTTCACAAAGATCTAAGGCAACAGCAGCAATTGGGCGTAACCACGGCCGCAAACATACCCCCCTCCTCATCGTCATCCTCGTCGAATCTCTGCAATCTCAATGAACATGTGGGTCTGGCACGTATGCAGATTACTTCATCCGGTTGCAGTAGCCTGGCGGTAACACCGATGGAACACACGCCCACAGATGAGGAGAGCACGGGCATAACAACGGTTTCCAATTGTCAGAGGCGCCAACAACATCAGCACCACCAGCAACAGCTGGCCATTGATCCGCTGAGTTTACGCATCGAAACCACACAGCTGCAGGCAGCTTTGGACAAACACCAGCATCTGGATGCCTCGTCAAATGATTTAATGGACCTAAGTGATTCCGAGTGCGGAATGTCGGCGAGCGGTGGCGATTGTGGCGAGCTGAGGGAAAACGAATTTGACATACGGGAGGTCATCAAGGAAGGCCATGACAAAGCAGATCCTTCACAATTCGAATTACTTCGTGTTCTGGGCGAAGGTTCTTTCGGCAAAGTGTTTCTGGTGCGTAAAATCATTGGCAAAGATGCGGGTACTCTGTACGCCATGAAGGTCTTGAAGAAGGCCACCCTGAAGATCAAGGACAGAGTGCGTAGCACAAACGAACGTAAAATACTGGCCGATGTGGGTCATGCGTTCATCGTTAAATTGCACTATGCCTTTCAGACACCGGGTAAACTATATCTGATATTGGATTTTTTGCGGGGTGGTGACCTTTTCACCCGTCTCTCCAAAGAGGTAATGTTTACCGAAGAAGATGTGAAATTCTATTTGGCTGAATTGGCATTGGCCCTCAATCATCTACATTCCCTGGGCATAATATATCGTGATCTGAAACCGGAGAATATTCTGCTCGATGAAAATGGTCACATTGCCCTGACTGATTTTGGCCTGTCCAAACAACCCTTGGATGGTTCGAAAACCTATAGTTTTTGTGGCACCGTGGAATACATGGCACCAGAGATTGTCAATCGCAAGGGTCACGATTTTGCTGCCGATTGGTGGTCTTTCGGTGTCCTAATGTATGAAATGTTAACCGGTAACCTACCATTCCATGGCCAAACTCGGCAAGAGACAATGACACAAATTCTCAGATCTAAATTGGGTATGCCCGAAAATCTATCACCCGAAGCCCAAGCCCTGCTGAGGGCATTGTTCAAACGCAATCCCCAAAATCGTTTGGGTGCCGGACCTAATGGCATTTTGGACATTAAGGCCCATTGTTTCTTTGCCACCATCGACTGGGTACGTTTGGAACGTAAAGAGGTACGTCCACCCTTTATACCTGCCGTGTCACGTGATGATGCCTTCTACTTTGATGTGGAATACACCTCAAAATCGCCCAGAGACTCTCCAGGAGGACCCATTTCCGCCTCAGCCCATGAAATATTTCGTGGATTCAGTTTTGTCGCACCCATGCTGCTGGAACAAACCCTCAACAATGATGCACAATCACCGCCCTCACCCTATCTGCCATGTCAAGAACCTGCACGCACACTGCCCGGTGTATTGCCGGGCAATTTTCACAATGACTATAACATTCTCCAGGAATTGGGTCGTGGTACATTTTCGGTGTGTCGTCTATGTGAACACAAAGCCTCCAAAAAACATTTCGCTGTCAAGATAATTGAAAAGGCTGCCTATATGGCCAATTCATCATCATCCGATTGTTGGGAAGAAGTTGAAATTATGTTGCGTTATGGCAATCATCCAAATATTGTAACACTCTTCTCCGTCTATGAGGATACGTCGTCGGCCTATTTGGTAATGGAATTGTTGAAGGGTGGCGAGCTGTTAGATCGTATTTTGGCTGTGGGACAAATGTGTGAAAGTGAAGCCAGTGTTGTTCTGCGAACAATGGTATCTGCAGTGGCCTATTTACATGAACACGGTGTGGTGCATCGTGATTTAAAGCCATCGAATATGATTTATGCCAGTATGAAGCAAACGCCGGAGACATTGAAACTCTGTGATTTGGGTAAGTATGAGAAGAGGTGAAGAAGAGAAGAAATGAAGAGGGAGAGAGGGGAATTTATTGTTGACTGTTTTGGACTGGGGCAATTGACAGATGATATTTTATTTTAAAGGTAAATAAGAATTTTTTCGGTATTTTTTTCATTCAGAGCTATAAGATATTTTTCAAGGATCATCAAAGTCTTAAATACAAAATTCCTATGGTTTCAAACAATTTTGAAGAAAAGAGAAACATTAAAAAAATATATTTTTTTGGGATTTTCAAAGAGTATTTTTTGAAGGCTTAGATTTAAAAAAAAAATCAAGGATAACCACGGCGAAGATTTTTTAAAAAATATTTTTCCAAGTGTAATTTTTTTTAAATATTTTTTAAGGTGTACCAAGGCGAACCTTTTTAAAATATTGTTCAATGTTTATCAAGCGTAGATTTTTTAAAATATTTTTTCAAAGTTTACCAAGGCGTAGATTTTTATACTCTTCACCACACTGTGGTACAGGGTATTATGTCTTTGTACATATGTTTGTAACAGACAAAAGGACACGAGATGTACACATGGTTCCTTTTGAGAATATGCATAAAATCACTTTTTACGTTGATTTATGCAGGTCCGTCCGTCTGTCTGTCTGTCCATGTTAAATTGTTAACAAAGTACAGATCGCATTTATGATTCGAATCGAATTTGACACAGCTCATATATTTGGCCCAAGAACGAACGCTATTGAAATTGGGTAAATCGGTTCAGATTTAGATATAGCTCCCATATATATTTTCGTCCGACTTAATGGTTCACCAAAATGGTTCACCAAAGTCCCTTAATATTTTTCGAGTTGCACGAAATTTGGTACAGCGTAATGAATTAGGTCTAGAATGATGTGTGTTATGTTTCCTGAAATCGGTTCAGATTTAGATATAGCGTCTATATCTGACCAAATGAAAAATTTAGTATCGGTTGCAGAATGACATGTTTATGGATCCAATTTCATTTTACTGGTCCTTTAAAAATGCGACGTCTTTTAGGATTCATCTGTTGAATATACCCAAAGTGGAGAAGGGTATCATATAGTCGGCCCTGTCCGACTTTACTACTTTCCTTACTGTTTTTATACCCTTCACCACACTGTGGTGGACATAATACCCTGTTTATGCCTTTGTGCATATGTTTGTAACAGGCAAAAGGAATCGAGATAGACCCATGGTTCCTTTTGAGAATATGCATAGAATCACTTTCTGAGTCGATTTATGCATGTCCGTCCGTCTGTTGATGTTAAATTGTAAGCAAAGTACAGGTCGCATTTATAATTGGATTTGGATGAAATTTGGCACAAGTCACTTATTTGACCCAAGGACGAACACTATTGAAATTGGAGAAAATCGGTTCAGATTTAGATATAGCTCCCATATATATTTTCGTCCGATTTTAGGTAAATTGAGCACCAAAGTCCCTGAAAATCATTCAATTTGCACGAATTTGAGCATAGCACAATGAATAAGGTCTAGAATGATGTGTGCAAAGTTTCATGAACGTCGGTTCAGATTTAGATACAGCTCCCATATATAGCTTCGCCCGATTTTAGGTAAATTAAGCACTAAAGTCCCTGAAAATCATTCAATTTGCACGAAATTTGAGCATAGCGTAATGAATAAGGTCTAGAATGATGTGTGCAAAGTTTCATGAACATCGGTTCAGATTTAGATATGCTCCCATATATAGCTTCGCCCGATTTTAGGTAAATTGAGCACTAAAGTCCCTGAAAATCATTCAATTTGCACGAATTTGAACAGCGTACTGAATGATGTGTGCTAAGTTTCGGGAAAATCGGTATCGATTTAGATATAGCTCCCATACATAGTTTCGACCGATTTTAGGTAAGTGGTGCACCAAAGTCCCTGAAAATCATTCAATTTGCACGGAATTTAGCACAGCGTACTGAATTAACTCTAGAATGAAGAAAATCGATTCCGATTTAGATATAGCTCCCATATATAGTTTCGCCCGATTTTAGGTAAATGGTGCACCAAAGTTTCTGAAAATCATTAAATTTTCACGAATTTTGGCAAAGCGTACTGATTTAACTCTAGAATGATGTGTGCTAAGTTTCGTGAAAATCGCTTCCGATTTAGATATAGCTCCCAAATAGTTTCGCCCGATTTTAGGTTAATGGTGTACCAAAGTCCCTGCATATCTTTGGATTTGCACCAATTTTGGCATATCGTACTGAATTAAGTCTAGAATGATGTATGCTTAGTTTTGTGAAAACAGATTCAGTGTTAGATATAGCTCCCATATAGTTTCGGCCGATTTTATGTATATGGTGCACCAAAGTCCCTGAAAATCGTTTGATTTGCACAAATTTTGGCATAACGTACTGAATTAAGTCTAGATGTGTGTACAATTTCGTGAAAATAGGCGCAGATTTACATACACCTCCTGTATATATTTTCGTCCGATTTTCAGTAAAGTACATAACTAGGCCGACTGATACAATGTACTGAAATTAATATAAGTTAACCGCTTGCAAGTTTCCTTGAAATCGCTTCAGATATAGATATTGCATAGCTGCTATATATAAATTTGACTCATTCATGTTAATTGTACACCAAATAATCAATGGGTGTCTGATTGAGATTAAATTTTAAGCAGTGCATAGGTTGCAGAATGACTTGTGCAGGAATGATGGTAGTACGTTTAGATATCGATAAAGATCACATATATAACTTCGTTCAATTTTATGTCAATGTTACTTCGAAAAGGAGACGTCTTTTAGGATACAATTGTAGAATATACCCAAAGTGGTGAAGGGTATCATACAGTCGGCCCAGTCCATCTTTACTACTTTCCTTACTGTTTTTTTTTTTCATAAATTTGTACAGCCAGAATTTTTTAAATAATTAGAAAAGGCTATATTTTTCAAATATTTTTTCAATAAATATTTCTAAAAATGTCGTAGTTTTCTAAAAATGTTTCAAAATATTTAAAAAAAATCAAGGATTCAAAATATTGTTTGGTTTATTGAAAAATAATTGTTAAAATTTATTTGAATATGTTTTACAATTATTAGCAAAAAATACTTAATAAAGACCACCATGGGTAGAATTTTTATTATTTTTTTAAGAGCTACCCAAGCGAAATTTTATAAGACATAATTATCCCATGTCTATTTCCCCATTGTTTTCAAAAGATTCTTAGAATTCCTTGACTTCCCACATCCACCCTTTAACCCCCCATAAGAATTAATTCTACCTATACGAATTATGCCAACATATTTACCATATTTTCAAAGTGAAACCGACATCCAAATTACAAAATAAACAAATGGTGAATTGTGGCATTTAGTGTTGTCTAACTGTCTGTCTGTCTGCCTCACATTAATCCTTGTCTCTACACAACAAGAACAAAAGCCAAGAACAACAAAAACAAAAGAATACGAATTTGTACAACAGATTCTCGAAAAAAGAAAAACAAACCGAAAAAAATGTATGTAGATTCTTAAGCCGGTAGCTAAAAGTATGACAACATATGTTTAAGAGCCGCCGACCACAGATTAAATAAACTCCCACATGCACGCACGCACACACACAACTACTTAAATTAACATAATGAATTCTCTATTTCGGGGTATATTTTCGTTCCTCCACTTCATAATATACTATTTCCCTTAGACTACTACAGAACAGTATGAGGAGGAATGTGGTATGTGTGTGTGTGAGGAAAAATCTTCAAGTACAACCTACATTCGTACATAACAACATGCAAGTCATTTTTCACAAACAATAACACAAAACAATTTCCATCCAACAACCACATGTTGTTGCTGTTGTTGTTAAATACATAAACAAACAATTTTCGAAAAAATCACAACCAGTCAAAAGTGCCAAACAACTTTCTTTTAGTTTTTTTTTTTTTTATTATTGCGATGTCGTTGGCGACCCACGCATTTTACAAGCAACACCCTCCCACACACGCATATCCTACATCGTCGACGACTTCTAAATGCAGAAACTGAGAGAAAAAAACCTACGACCGAACACCCTCAATTATTATTACATGTAAAAACATTTCTATTATTAGAACCACCCTTAATCATCATCCTCATCATAAGTACGGAGCAACAACAACAACAATGAGTCGTTTGTAATATATGATGATGATGAACGCTGGACAGACGAAGAGGAATATACTATATTTATAAGGTCTTTGGCTTTTTGGTGGCTGGCTTGCTGACTTACAGAGGAGAGTCGTGATTGTCGTAGTTTTCAGAATTGAATAATTTTCAGCAAAAGAAGTTTCAGATTACCTTTTCGATTTTTTAGAAAATGGTTATAAGAAAGAACATTTTTTGAGAAGGATATTCCTATAAGAAATACAATTTTTGATCCCCTTTATAGCCATGTTCCACTGTATGCTTCTTTTTTGTCGTGTAGTAAAATGCGATTTACTACTATAACAACCATTTTTTGTTGTTTTTTTGTAAAGCTGTGTGCTGCGTGTGTATATTTGTCTAAATATGTTTACATGCTGCTACGCAATCCTTGTTACACATTTTTGTAGTAGCACCCTTTGCGCCATTACCGACCGACCTCCCTTTGACTGTGTTTTTTTAGCACATGTGTTTGCCTTGCTCTCAATGGGGTCAAACAACCAGCCATGTACAAAAGTCAATTTGTAACTAATAGGACAATTCAATTGAACATTTGGATTAGCATTATTACGATACATTACGAAGTTTTTACATAATGGGGAAAGACATTGTTGGGTCTTATAAAAAATAAGAAATTGTTTTCTTTAAAATAAATATTAAAAAATCTCAAGGATTGACAATTTTTAAGAAATATATTTTTCAAAGAACTGTCAACGGGTAGAATTTTTCAACTTAATTTTTAAGTATTAAAAAAACTGAAGAACCTGCACTAGAGAAAAGCAGAGGTTGACCTTTAAATTGATAACAATTATATTGTCGTATGTACTCGGATGTGGGAGTTACACATAAATCTTTACAGGTGCTTACGTATTCATACATTATTTAGTAACCCATTGCCACACTAGAGGGCTGAAATATAGCGCTGTTCGCTTTGAAATTTTCCATGAGGACCCAGGTATGGGTAAGGACAACGCCTATAGTTTTCGGTGATGATCTGATAATAATATTGGGATGAAGTGGACCGAAAACTTTTTTGTGTTTTTTCGAGTGGATCTATAGGCAACAATTGAAAGCCGAACATCACAACACAAGCCACGATGAAGGGAATCTTTAGACAAGTAATGAGAAGAACTGTACTGAATATAAGTAATATTTTTTGACCTCTAGTTGGTCAAGAAGGTGCAAATATCGCGAAATATTGCACAAGCTCAGAATATAGAACCACAGAATGTTATATTTTTGTGTAAGTTGTGTGTAGGGTATCATATGGTCGGCCCCGTCCGACTATACTGCTCCGCTCACTGTTTTAAAAATAGTTTTATTTAAAGGAATACCATAGCGTAGGATTTGCAAAGCGTATATTTTTTTAATCTTTTCAAACGCCTACGGAAGCGTAGGTAAATATTTTTTTTTTTTCAGAGAGAAACCAAATCATAATTTTTTATAAAAAATGTGCGTAGATTAAAAACAAAGGATTGCCAAAATATTTTTCAAGGCAACCAACAAAGCGTAGATAAAAAATAAGGAAATACGCTTAGGTGTAGATTAAAAAAATAAATATTTTTTCAATGGACCAAAGAACAACGATTAGATTTTCAAATTGGGTTTTTTTATATTTTGGGGCTTTGCTGCACCATTTACTGAAAATCGGACGAAACTATGTATGGAAGCTATATGTAAATCTGAACCGATTTCAACAAAACTTGACACACGTTAGGCAATACTTACTTCAGTACGTTGTTCAAAATTTTGTGCGAATCGGCCATATGTTGGGTCTTTGGTGCACCATTTACTGCAAATCGGACGAAACTATATATGGGAGCTATATCTAAATCTGAACCGATTTCAACGAAACTTTACACACAGTAGGTTATACCAACTTCAGGGCGCTGTGCCAAATTTCGAGCAAACCGAAAGGTATATAGGGACTTTGGTACACCATTTACATTAAATCGGACGAATATATATATGGGAGCTATATCTAAATCTGAACCGATTTTCCCCAATTTCAATAGGGTTCGTCCTTGTGCCAAATAAGTGAGCTGTGCTAAATTTCATCCAAATCGGATCATAAATGCGACCTGTACATTGTTTACAATTTAACATGAACAGACAGATGGACGGCCATTCATAAATCGACATAGAAAGTGATTCTATGCATATTCTCGTTTCCTTTTGTCTGTTACAAACGTATGCACAAAGATATAATACACTGTACCACAGTGTGGTGAAAGGTATATAAATCAAGGTTTAACATTTTTCAAAGAACTATCGGGTAGAATTTTCAAAGTAAATTTTCCAAATATTAATAAATCTGACATTTTTAAAAAATATATATTTTTAAAGGAATATTATAGCGTTGGATTACAACGCGTAGATTTAAAAATTATTTTTAGAGGATTAAAAAAATTGCTTTAAAAGACTACGGAAGCGTACATTAAAAAATATTTTTTAAGGGACTTCAAAAGCGTAATTAAAAAAAGGAATTTTTACCAAAATAAAAATAATATAACCTGGGTGTAATTCGGTAGACCTCCGCAAACCATAAGTTGAGGGTATAGATCTGTCGGCTGATACTTTTTTACTTGTTTTATTTTTAACTTTTAATTGGGTTAATTTTTTGGGAAATAAACACATCCATAAGATAGGGTGTCTATAAAAGTTGTAATTTCGTTTGAAACAACTCAAAGTATTATTATTCGGAGACCCCACAAGAAATATATATTTATGGGGTCTTGCAAATTACAATATACCTCGTAATATTTAAGTTAAAGATTTGAAACTGTGCACATAAATTGCTACTACTCTTATGATGTTTAGAATGTCATATGTCGGTCCATGTTTTTGTGTAGCTTCCATATAACGGTACCTTAAATTTTCGGTTTATTGCGGATTTTAGGAATTTTAATTTAATATATTTGGGCTTTCATTGAGAGTTTAATCTTCCTACCACATATTATTAATATTTGTCCATCTTTGGATAAAGCAAACAATGGGGCTATTAGTAGATCAACAACACCTTTTCAGAAATGTAGGTCCAAGTACATGCAATATCCCATTTTTGATATTTTGAAGCAAAATCTATTATTTGGCATATCTAGTTTTGGAGGGTGAAAAAAAATTTTTAATGTGCAATGTGATATACCATAGCCCCATCCCAAACGGTTTTAGATATTTTGATGGTCTTAGGCACATTTTCCAACATGGTAGATAAAACAACGTCATGTTAAATATAAAAATGTCCTGCAAACTTGAAATTGTGAATATAACTTCATGTTCGGGCCACCCTATTATATTAAAAAGTCCAAGCTTAATGATTTTTTAGGCCGATGCTGTAAGTTGAGTATATTTTAAACTTCTCTTTTCTCATACCTCGTATGAAAAACTATAATTCCACAATTGTATTGCAATAAATACACACGCACTCTTAGTCGAACTCTGCTGTGTAATGTATTTATAGATGAGTTTTGTATTTTATTTGATTTGTAATTGATAATAATTTCCGATGAAGTGTAGTTCTGATGTTTGTTTGAACACCCACCATGCTATGGATGCAATGAAATATTAATTAAATTAATTGGATATTACTACACATTATGAAGGAGACAGTGGGGTTATTATAGATGGGAGAGTGTGTAGTGCAGACATTGTTTTTTGTTATTACCATTCTCATTAGATGGGGATTTAACATGAGAAGGCTTTCAAGTAAAAAAAAAAAAACATTAAATAAAATGATGTCACAAACGTTTTAATTTTTTTAAGATTCATGTGAAAAGGTACTTCTTAGAAAACTAAAAATCTAAAGCTCTGACACTTCTTGGAAAAATATATTTAAAAAAAATCCACGCCTCTCATAATCCTTAGAATAATATTCATTCTCTGATATTTCCACCACGTCTTTTTATGTCCTTAAAAACGTTTTTTTAATCCTTCGAAAAAATGATAACCTTGTTAAAGTATTTGCCTGACTATCGACCTCAATAGACATCAGCATGACTTACGCTCCCCCAAAAAACACTCTCTCTATTAACCCCCCCTCTCATCAAATCACTACTAATTTCACCTTACTCCCCTCACTCACTTTAGGTTTCGCCAAACAATTGCGTGCCGACAATGGTCTCCTGATGACCCCCTGCTATACAGCAAATTTTGTTGCACCCGAAGTATTAAAACGACAAGGTTACGATTTGGCATGTGATATATGGTCGCTGGGAGTACTCCTGTACATTATGTTATCGGGTCGGACACCATTTGCCTCAACACCAAATGATTCACCCGGTGTGATATTAAAACGTATTGGTTCGGGTCATATAGATTTTTCGGCAGCGCGTTGGTCAAGCATTTCGGCATCGGTTAAAGAGCTATTGGGACAAATGTTACATATAGTACCAGAAAATCGGCCAACAGCAGCACAAATATTACAACACCCCTGGTTGAAAGAACAAACAGCCGGATCTGTACGTCTAACGGAATATTATGTGCCCTCGCAACAGGAACAGGCAACAGCGACGGCAGCTGCGGCGGCGACTGTAACAAGTTTTGCCTGCAATGCCAATACGGCCCGTGAAGCAAATGCTGCTTTACGTGGAGCCGTAGATGCCACCTTCCGGGCTATAGCAATTCCACAGGCGGCCAATGTGGGGCCGGTGGCCGATTCAATGTTGGCCAAACGACGTGCCAAAGATCGTGCCAATCTGAAGACGTAATCGAAAATGCAAAATTGGGTAACATTTTTCATTGTCAAATTGAAGCTTAACATTTTGCGATAATTGTTTGTGGTCGAGGGAGAAGAAGCAGCAAATGTGGCACTGGCGGCAAGTATGTCATGATGGTAATCCTTGTAATCTTGTTATGGAAATAGTAAAGCTTTAACTAAACATAGAAAGGACAAAAAAAAAAACAAAACACAACCAATAAAAAATGGAAAATCTCAAAAAAACAAAACATTCGCATAACACGAGTTGTGAACCACTGGCTTACTTTTTTCTATTCTACAACCAAAAAAAACTAATGAAAAACAAAAAAAAAAACAACACACGAAAACCAAACAAAGAGCACAAAATGTTTTTACTACTGAAAATTATATTAAAAAAATTAAAAAAAAACAACAACTTTATGAAAAATATTTAAAAAACAAATATATTATTATATAAAACCATATGTATATTTAAAAATACAAAAAAAGGAAATGAAAAACATCCTCCTCATCAAACTATAAGGCAGAACTTCTTTAAAGCTATTTTTTCTGTAAAACCCCAACAAAGAAGTTCAATGCAAAACAAAAATCTTCCATTTATATAAAAAACACAAAGAACAAAATGCAAACAAGTTAATTATTTATTTTATAGTCAAATTCTATATATACTATATATTTTTAATTATATTATTATCTCTCTCTATATCTCATTATATATAACAAATTTTATTATTATATATTTTTGTAACAATTAGTATTTCTATGTGTAATTTGGCTTTTATTAGTAATCCACATAATTTATACACAACCCACACATACACATATATACATTATATACACATACAACATATATACAGTTATGTTTTTATTATTATTATCATATTGTAATTCATTTTAAACATTTATATTTTATATTGTATTATATTATTGTGTACAACAAGAACAAAAAACAAAACAAACGCTAAACCGCCCCTAATTCTTGATTACGAACGAGAAAAAACGAATCTAGTTAATGTTTTATTATTATTTTTATGAATAGATGTATTTTTTAATTAATAATTATTTTTTTAAAATAATAATTGTTTTGTTTTCATCCTGCCTCCAAAAGGTTTTAATAAAACACAATATAGAAAACATGATTTTTCTTTTTTACTTTTGCTTAAAAGTAACTATGCCATTTCCATGTGTAATTTAGAAAATTTTAATGTAAATCTATTCCAAAAGTTAGCGTTTTTTTTTTTTTTCATTTGAAGACCTTTGTGCTTGTGTATATGAAAAGCCAAGCTTACACAAGAGAATTTGTTTTTTGCAAAGCTATGAATTTTGGTGAAATCTTTCCCATAGAAGAAGAATCATTGGAGTATCTGCCAAACAGTTGTCTTTTGTTACAAAATCGTTGCATAAATACACACGCACTCTTAGTTGAACACTTCTGTGTAATGTTTTTATAGATGTTTTTTTTTTTTTATTTTATTTGATTTGTAATTGATAATAATTTCCGATGAAGTGTAGTTTTACTGTTTGTTTGAACACACACCATGTTATGGATGCAATGAAATATTAATGAAATTAATTGGATATAACTACACATTATGAAAGACACAATGGGATTATTATAGATGGGAGTATGTGTAGTACAGACCTTGGTTAGCCAAAAATTAGCAGCTGTTTCATTTGGAGACCTTTGTGTTGATCTTGTGTATCTGAAAAGCCAAGCGAATTTGTTTTTGCAAATCTATACATTTTGGTGTGTTCTATCCCGTAGAGGAAGGTTAGATTATCATTGGTGTATCTGCCAAACAGTTTATGTCGTTTGATATCTTTCTTCTGTTGGATTTTGATGTTCTGCAACCAGGTCCTCAAATCATCTAATGGCAGTTTGCTCGCATTAGAGTTTGCGGATTTTGTTAATGTGATCACGCCTATTAGATTTTGAGATTCTGCACCCAGGTTCTCAAATCTTCTAATGCCAGTTTGCTCGCATTAGAGCTTGCGGATTTTCTTAATTTGATGTATGCTACTGTGGCCTCTATTTTATTTCACTATCTTCTGGAACCCAATTTAGAATTGAATTTAATTGGTAACCCATAGAAATAACCATATCCCAAAGAATAATGTCCACATCTTAATATTTTTCCAACTACAAATCAATTTTTAAAAAATGTGGGATTAAATCCGAGGTGACGTCTATTGGTTTCTTTTGAGAATATGCATAGAATCACTTTCTGAGTCGATTTACGCTTGTCCGTCCGTCCATGTATTTTTGTGAACAAAGTACATGTCGCATTTATGATCGGATTTGGATGAAATTTGGCATAGTTCACTTATTTGGCCCAAGGACGAAGCCTATTTAAATTGGAGGAAATCGGTTGATATTTAGATATAGCTCCCATATATAGTTTCGTTCGATTTTATGTAAATGATGCACCTAACTCCCAATATTTGTCCGATTGGGACAAAATTTTACACAGAGTACTGAATTATGACCAGACTGATGTCTGCGAAGTTTTGTTAAAATCGGTTCGTATTTTGATATAGCTCCTATATATAGTTTCGTCCGATTTTTTTGTGAATAATACACCAAACTCAGATTATTTGTCCGATTGAGCAAAATTTTGCATAGCGAGTGCAATTGAGGAAAAAATGATGTGTGATATGGTTTGTTGAAATCGGTTCAGATTTTGATATAGGCTTATATATATTTTCGTTCGATTTATATAAATTGTGCACCGAAGGGCCGATTCCATATCAATGGTCCACCAAAGATTCTATATCTGCCCTATCTACATGATATTGTAGATATTAACATCGGCCCCGTCCGACTTTTGATCTTTCCTTATTCGTTGTAGTAGGTTTTGATCATTTTTATGCCGTGTGAGAAAGTTAAGCGATCCAATTTTGTCAATAGCAGACTTTCAACTGAGAAGAAAAAAATTGGTTTAACAACATTGTTTGATAGATGTCGAATTCCAGACCCATATTTTTGAAACCACGAACTGCATTCCCCTGTTTTGTTATATGCCCTATATACATATTTGAAGATCTTTAACTATATATGGCACAAACAAAGCAGACTTTTTCAATTGTTAGTTTTTAATATTTCAATTGAAAATGTGGCATTCCGAATTCCTGGATTGTAAAATAATTCACAATAATGTTCCTATATAGGCTTATATTTTCTTTAGGAAATTGAACCTAACGGCATTTTCCAAACTGATGTGAACATAGTTAGGCATTTAAGCGAACAACATTAATTCAATATTTTCAGATCAAAACATTTTTCCACACAGAAAATTTTTAATGTAGGTTCACAGATCTTTTCAGAACCTTATGCAACTGTAGCACTTTAAACCTAATTTTAATCTTATTGTCGATTAAATGTTTCTCTTATTTCAAATTACATGTGGAAATGGCATAACAAGTCATTGGCCTTCGACAGCAATGAGTGTTGTCTGTCGTGGTAAAAAATATATATTTTAAAATATATTTCAATATTGTGGTTCGAACACAAAAACCACATATGATATGGATTGTTTTCAATGTTATATATTAAAAAAAAATCAAAATGGTATTCAAATAAAACAAAAATTGGTATTATCAACAAATGTATTTTAGATTTATGTATTTTATTTGAAATCGATTGCATTTAGTAAACATTTTTAGAATTTTTTAATAACAGTTTAATTGGTCAGTACAATAATGAAGAAATCAAAATTATTTGACCATTTGTTTTTGTGACTGAAATTGGCATTTACATTCATGTCGTTGGCAGATTTTCACTGGTTTTGATTAGAATAATAATTTATAGGATTTAAATAATGGAATACTATTTTTAAATTCCTACAAATTACGATCGATAAAACAGATAGTTAAAAAACAAAATGAGTTCTTCGGACTACATTCAGGATTACATTAAAATTTAATAATTTAGCATTTTATTTCCGCATTTCAATTTTGTCTGAAATTACAGTACGTTTTGTATATAATTGAAAACAGGATATACATTGGTATACTATCGAAATCGTTTCTAGCGATACCGTTTATAATGACTATCCAAAAGTCCCAAGAAAAGTTGAGGCCTTTATTTGATATCGTTTATAACGACATATCGCTAAGAGCGACCAATCTTACCGGTCCCTTGGCCGTCATTTTAAGCGACTTCGACTGTAATTCAAAACTTGTTCCATGCCTCTTTTTGTATTAGATATATGTACACGACGTTATATTTGATATTCTAGTAGGGAAAATAATAATTCTAAAACTTTTATTTTAAATTGGTTGAAATATAATTTTTATTTCTCCGAAATACCAAAAAAACCTAACCTAAAAATAAAATAAATTTTTAAATTCAATATTATTTTGGCATGATATAAAAAACATGACAAATATGGCATGACATTTAAAACCCTCTATATTTTGTATTGCTCCGAGTACCTCTAATTAATTTAATTCAATAATGACAAAATAAAACAAATAAATGCAACTTCCTTATCTCTCCGAAACCCAAAACAATAATAACGACGAAAGTAATGTAATAGCAGAACAAATTACCTGTATAACGAAAAGAACGAACAAAAAGAAAATGATAAAAAATTGTATTAGAAGTATTTTAAAAAAAGAAAATCATGTATTTTTGTGAAAAATATTAGCTAATGAATGAAGAAAATAAGAAAACAAAAAGAAAAAACAAAGCCAAGAAATGTAAAAGTAAACAAATTGAAATTATTTAATATAAACAAATTATAACAAAAGAAAAACTTATATTTAAAAAATATATTTCAAATAATAACATAATGAATTTAGTTAAAAACAATTTAAATTATAATAATACAAAATAAATTAACAAAATCCCCCAATTGCTCACTCCCACATTAATAAAAAAAATTATATAAGAATAAATAAAAAATGTTAATTATTGCTGACACAGTTTTATCCCATAATAAAAATAAATAGCAAAACAATGCATATAAATAAAGTATACAAAAACATTATTTAATAAAAAAATATATATTGAAATTTAACGAATAAAAAATAAATAATATTTACATTTATAACTTGACAAGAAATAATGAAAAGGTAAATACAATTTTATAAATATATTTAGACAACATTTAAA